AAATACTGGTGCTAACCTGAGTCATGCAGCTATGTCCCTTCTTACAAGTCTGTCCTTAAGGGCACATTTGTGCACTAATGCAGAAATGTGATTCTTTGCAACAAACCTGAACTTGTGTGCATGTGTGCCATCTCTGCTCCTCCAGGACTATTCCAATGTCTTCTCTACTGAGACACATTCTCATTGTGGACAACCATGGTAGTTAATTTTTAATCGGCTGCCATGGTAAACAAGAAAGATCTGCAAAAATTAACATTAGCCAAAAATCGAGAGATTTCTAAGGCCTTTGCTCTCTTCAGTAAATGGTCACTCAAATCCTGACACCCCTTATCCTTTTGTGATATATGATTTTTTAGTAACTTCCCCATTTGTGGCAGGCTAGAGAAGTAAATCTATTGTCTTCTATAGTCTTCTGAAGAATTAAGGTAGCACAACAAATATTCTTGCTCAAAATATCCTTTTTGTGATTGTACTGAATGGCTGCTCTCATTTTTACTTCCCAGACTTGACACAAGAAAAGTTCAAAAGTTTACAGTCCAGGTAAAGTTTCTTTGAGTATCTTCCCAAACATGTGGCTCAAGTCGGATGCCTGGGGGGAGTACAGAATGACAGCAAAAAGCAGTGTATGTGGTACATACCAGTATGTGATACCAGTGTCTGAGAATGTGTTTTTTCAAAGTAGGAAGTGTCTCTGAAATATCACATGATATACATTGTGCAGTTTCTTCCTTTTGAGAATGGTAAATTTAGAATAATATCTATGGGGGAAAAAAATCAGCCTTCTTACTACAAGTTCTTGTAACACTTGCAGACACATTGAAAATTCTCAATACCTTAATTGCTTTGGTTTTTTTTGGTGTTAACTTTTGAGGCTATACTGATTTTATTGTTCTGATTGATTTGTGTCTTCAGAGTATATATTTTAGTATTTTTGCTACTCCCTTCTGAAATGCTTTTATAAGAGTCTTCTTTTGGTCACCAATCCACTACTTTCTGATTAGCTACAGTCATGATTTTCTCCTCCTGTGCTGTATCTCATGTCTTACCATAAGTCACACCGTGCAATGAAATATATTAACAGGTTTTTGTCCCTAAAATATTCACAGTTTGTATTAATCTTCTTGTCTAAACCCATCTCTTTTTTTTCCTTCTTTTTCTTTTTTTCTTCTTCATTTTTCCCCTGTTCTATGCATATTCTTATTCACCTTTTCCTTATTTGCATTTTAAAATATTCCAGGAAAGGTCCTTGTCCTTTTGCAATCTCATGCAAGGATCATGCAAAGTTAATAGGCTGCATGAATGTTTCATAATAATGATAAATAATCACAGAGATGTGGTTTTTTTATAATTATGAAAATTATGTAGCTGCGTTCATATTCTGTGATATTGCCACTTTAAATATTGGCACTCAGGATCAAACTTTCTGAAATAAGAAACTTTTCCCTGCTTATCTGTATGACCAATGTGTTGTCTAAATATATGTCTGGTGTTGATTATACTGTGCAATGTGTGCAGGCAGACTCCTAAATCCGTATGGTAGCTACCTACATAAATCTTGCTGATACTGCTGTCAGTGGATGGGCTTATGTGTGTGTTACAGGAGTCTGCAAATCAAGCACATAAATACCTGTCCACCCAGGAGTTTTCTTGCAAAATTAGAGATACAGAAATGGAAGTTTGGATTAATCTGGCATGCTGCAGTAGAGTTGTAAACAAGGAAGACGTACAGCTGCTCTCTGAAGCAGGCAAAATTTTTGTTCCTATCAGACTGTGTGTTGTGTACAAGCACTGACAGGCTAACCAGATTTGTTGATGAGCTTAATCTGTTAAGCAATTTAACATTTGCTGGCACATTTATTTATTTCAACTGACAAAGAATTTTGCAACTGACAATAACCTAATTTGGGGAATTTAGGAAGCAACCCCTGTCCCTTCACCTTCCCTGCAGTTAAGCATTCAATACACAAGAAGTTCCAGGTCCCTAGTTTCCTTTCAGTCCAGGTAATAAGGATGAGGGAGGCAGGCTTTAACTGACTCCCTGCTTTTAAAAATTTGATGTTACTATCTTCCAAATGGCCAGCTGTGTGCAAAACCTGGTTCTGGTATCATTGGCTTCCAACTAGCTCATGGGTAGTAGGATTTGTTGCCATGTGAGCAAGCTGAAAAATTACCTTTCCGTTTAGATTAGCTGTTAGAAAAAAATCATATCATTTTTTTACATCTCTTTTCATGAGAAGCAAGGTTGAAGTAGATAGAAACACATATAGAAAGCAGTAACAAAGCTAGAATGCAGCAGAGGCTGTAAACTGAGAAGAACACACTGTGCAGACTTGTAAAGATTATTTAAGGAAGGTATTTGAGCAGTCACTCAGAAACCCATACTACACATGTGCTGGTGCACTGGCAGTCAGATTTTATGTTTGTCTGCTGAACAACACTGTCATTACTAGTTTCTAGTAGGTATCTCATCCTTTTCCTGTTCATTACTTCTTTGGTAATATGTATAAAATAATAATATTTCTGACTTCCAAGCTCTATCATGAAATTGTTGGCTCTGTTGCTAGTGTTTTGGGTTGGTTTATTTTTCTTTGTGGTGGGGAGTTACCTGTGTCATCACTCAGATATGTTTTTCTTTACACAGCTATCACTGATTTTCATTTGAGGAGATTCAAGAACCCTTCCTTGTTAAGCAGAATAGTGTTCAACAGCTTAGTGTTTCTTTTGACAGGTTTCTAGAAGGTTTTATTTATACCTACTTTAAAAGTATATTTTGTAGGTGTTTAAACAATAGGTTATGTAAATAACATGAGGTATGTACATGTTTGATAAACACACAAGCTTGCACACACACATATACTTCTTTTATGGACTTACTATTGTCCAGCTTTAGTTCCCATGGACACTGTTAGAGTTTACTGTTAGTTTGAGGCATTTCTTTAAAGAAATCCATTTGATGAAATTGTCAGAAAGATGAAGATAGCATTTTTCTCATTTTTGCTTAAATTTTATAAACTGACCAACAGCATTTAGAGAAAAGAAACTGAGGTTCAGTGTAATGCTTTAACACTGATAACTGGCCTTCTTTATTTGCGTCCTGCTGCTCTCTTAACCATTTGAAGATAGGCTTTTAATTACATGTCTAAAATCATAAGCGTTAGCTGTCTTTCTTTTCAAAATTTTTCCAGTTAACCACCATTGCTTGTAATTTAGATTTCTGTGTTAATCCTGACTACTCTTTTCATACCTCTTCATTTACCATTCCTCTAGCACTGTCTGTGTAAATTACCATGCCATTCCATTCTACTGTTCCTCGTCTAAGAATGGAATCCCAACCCCCAGAGAAATCAGCGGCAAGTACATTGGCTTTGCTAAGCACAGGAATACATCCTACCAATTCTGTATCCTGCCATCCCTTGATTTGACACACAATGTCCTACGTCATGATTTCAGACCAGAATATTGTTCATTAAAAGCAAGGAATCTGCCATTTGCTCTCTGATTCTATAAAAACTTCCATAGAAGTTGGATCAGATATTGTTATGCAACTGAAGACAAGTCAAATTATTGTCCTTTCCAGAAAGAGAAGTGTTGTGGTTTTAAAGCAGAAACTAAAAAAAATCACTAGAATACTTACTTATTTCTTGCTGTGAGATATGGATTAGAACAAGAGCAAAACAGGCTTAAAACTTAAAAGGAATAAAGAAAGTTTATTAGCAAAAACTATAAGAATAAGAAAACCAGAATAAAACTTCCAGAAACCCTTTTCTCCCCCACTACTCAACCATTCTCTTGTTCACATGACAACATAGAGACAAAAAAACTTTGGTGTTTAAAAGTCTCAATTCTTGCTAGAGTCTTCTCATCAGTCTTTGTAGAGAAACAGAAGTCTTTTTCTGCTAATCTATGGAGTTTCTCACAAGAAAATTATTTTTCTTCATAGCTTTCTATTTCTCTGATGCCAGCTGCTCAAAAATCTGTCATCAGCTCACTCCTCCCATTTCACATTACTCTGAGGTGTGTTATGGGTCAAATGAGTCTAAGGATGTAATTTTTAAGGATGAGTTATTCAAAGGCAAAAGTTCTCTTTATCTGGATCTGTGAGCCTCTCTGGAAACAGAAGTTTTCTCTTTGCCTCTACAAACCTACAAATCTTCAATTATTACTTCTCTCCCCTCTGTTCCAGCACCTCACAGGATCACAACTACTTCGCTTTTTGCTCAAAATCCACACTTTGAACACTCTATTCCTCCCAATATACTCTGTCATGAATTAAAGGAGTTTTTTCAGAACACTATTGTCCATCTCTATAGTTTTAACAGAAAAATATTTCAGCTTATTAAAGCATCTCCTTATTCTCTACCTCTTCTGAAGCTTAATTCTTTTCTTCACTGTCTCTGATAGTTTATAAAGTCTCTTTACATGTGGATTACTTTCTCTTTCTCTCTCTGGAAAAAAAAAAAAAAGATTAATCTGCAAGTCTCATCTGGGTAATGAAAGGGTTAAAATCTTGCCCAGGCTTTGTAGATAGTTCTGTGAACTCTGCCTGAGCAGCAGCTGGAGCTGTCTGCGATGGAAGATTCTTCATGGCTGCTCTGGAGAGTGTGGTCACTGTCTCAGCCTGCCGCAGGTCAAGAGCTTTTTTCTTTCCTTACTCGGCAGTCTCTGGTGAATTCAGTCACAGCAAAAACTGCAGCCGAGCCAGGGAGCGGCCTGGCCCGGCCAGAGCCCGGGGCAAGCCCCGCAGGCCCCATCTCCTGGCCGGGAGCTGCTGGGCCCAGCCCAGCTCCTGCCCAACGGGGCCGCAGGGCCTGGGCAGGGGAACGGGAGGCTGGCTGGAGCTCTGTTACCTTTCTCAGCCAGGAAACAAAGAGACAAAGAAATTCCCAGGCTTAGGTCTTAAGGTGGTGTTCACAGGTTGATCTCACTTTTCAATGGTCAAAACTGCTGCCAATTCTTAGAAATGGCCAGCTGTTGACCGGGAGAAAAACTCCCATCAGCCTCCAGCAGTTTTAACTTCTTTAGGTGTTTCTCTTTGTTTTTTTAAGTGTCAGTCTATCCCAAAACGCCAATACAGATGACTCCTTTCTACTTTAACTGGGGCTTGAATGACACTGGGCAACACGCACACAACCCCTGCAGATCTCAGCTACCAAAATTCTCTTGTTAAATGTTTTTTCTTGCTATGATGTCAGACTGAATTGTAAGTATATATTTTCTCCATTCTTGTGCTTGGTATTCAGACAGCTACTGAGAAAGATAAAACTAGTATATGAAGAGAGCTTAAAAGTGTCACGTTTCATCAATAAAATCTACTGTGGCCTATTTTATGTGTTATGCAAGCTCCAGAGAGATGTGCCATATTGTTAAGGGGTTGTAGGTTTTTGAGTAGATATTTTCATAGTAAGGTAAACATAAGACATTGAGTATCTTTATAAAAGGACCAAAATATTCTTGACTACTAACTGACATTCTCAATCTGGTAAGACCTTTTTAATATAAAGAAGCTACTTATGTCAATGAGACAGCTTTTAAAATGTTACTTAGCATGACAAGTGGTAGAGAAAACAGTGTCAGAATCTGGCCCATATTACTGTTTACAATGAAGAAAAATAAGTCTGTCTTTGTAGTTTTGAAAAAAAGTGCAATGTTTCAATATTCTGTAGTATTTTCTTTATATATTTTCTGATACATGTCATGATGTATCACTGTGTAGTTATTTTTTCCTATGTTTCTTATCTGATTCTGGCCAAATATTAGTTTTTTAATTATGGCTTTCTTCTAGCTTCCTCATTTACTATCAATTTTTTTTTTTTTTAAAAAAAACCAATGTAAACTATCAGCTCTTCTATGTATATAATGACATCAGGAATTTATTTCTTCTTTACTATTGCAGTCACTTACTAGCCCTTTTTAGCACTGAAACAAGCAAGTTATATGAGTAGACTCAATTAGATGCTCTTTGCTGTTAATAGAATGATTAAAGATAAAGCACAAAAAGAAAGAATAAAGCAGCTGACTTCATGAATTTTAATTACCAGTTCTGAGAGTTATTTTGTATGATTCTCATTCCTCATATTTCAGTCTAAATAGATAGACAATATATGTATTTTTTGTATACATAAGTGTATGTGTGAGTTTTATGTCTTTATCTGCCTGTTTGTTGGTCAGACTCTTTTCTTTATACTTTCTGCAGCCCAGGGTACTTGCACTAACCACCTGCAGTTGTAATAGTATTCTTCTCTCCTAAAGATTTAATTACCTTTAAGTAGTTGCTGTTTCTCAGATTATTTCAGGCTATAATTACCTGAAACCTAAATAACATTGCTCTGTGTGTGTGTGCACATGGTCAATGAAGGGATTCAACCTAGAGCAATATAATGATTAGCAGCTAGGTCTGATCTTCACCTGCCTCAGTAGCTATTCAAAATAAATATTGCAAAAATGTAAGATTAATTACTATTTATTTTGCTAATATGTATTTTGTATACTTTATATCTGTTATCTGCAGCCATGAAAAATGTTGGGTTTTGTAAAGTCTAACTGAATTATTAGAAATTTTCTACAAAAGATGGTCATGATAGAATTGCTTTAAAATAGATAATCAAATTATGTAGAGATTTTAATACCCAATTTATTTAATAATCTAAATATTGTGTAAGGAGCATGCCACTTTTTTCATGAAGGCAGTGGCATAATTAATCATCTGATGGCTTTGCAGTGAGAAAGTTGTTTCTGTGTTTTTGAAGCAATTAGATGAACTCCATCAAGAAGTCACTTAAATTGGAAGGAACATCTAGGAGTCTGCAGTTACTTGAGGCTGTTTTTTGTTGGGTTTTGCCTGTCTTAAGAGAAAAAAATACTGCACATCTTCCTTCTTGTGTTTGACCACTTCAGAGTTTAAAAAAAAAGGCTTAGTTGATTTTGTTTCCAACAGTTAAGTGGAATTTTTTGTATTTCATTTTGTACTCATTGCTGCTTCTTCACTTGCTATCTTCATCTGGGACAGAGTTCAGTTTTTTTATAGTAGCTGGTAAATTTCTGTGGCTTTAGGATTTAGAATTTGAATAATGTTGATTATACACTGATGTTCTCCTAGGCACCACTGAGAAGAGTCTGACTGCCATCATTATTCCTTTAATCAGGTACTTATACACATTGATAAGATTCCCTTGATACTTTGCTTCTTCAGGCTGAAGAGTCCCAGCTGAAGAGTCTCAATCTTCCCTCACATGAAAAAACAATGAGTTTCCTAATCATCTGTGCTGGCCATTAACTGCACTTACACCAGTAAGTGTACTGTGACCCTTTTGTAAAGAGATACCCAGACCTTAACACAGGTCTTAAGGTGTGTCTCTCAAGGGCTGAGCAGAGAGAAGGGTTCACCTCCCTCAGACTGCTGATGATACTCCCACTAATGCAGTGAAGGATGGATGCTGTTGACGGTCTTTGTTGCAAAGGCATATCACCCGAACATGTTCCGCCCGATGTCCACCAGGACATCCAGATCTCTTTCTGCAAGCTTGGTTTCCAAACAGTCAGCCCCAGTTTTTTGTGGAGCTATTTGTCTCCAGGTGCTGGTCACTCTGTCACCAGGACTTTGAACATCTCTTTGTTGAACTGTGTAAGGTTCCAGTCAGCCCATTTCTCCAACCTGTCAAGGTTCCTCTGAATGGCAGCACACCCACCTGATGCTATTGTTCCCAGTTTTTTTATCATCATCAAACTTGCTGAGGGTGGCTTTTGGCCAATCATCTGGGTCATAATGAAGAGGTAAGACAGTAGTAGATGCCTTATCAATGCTTAGTGACACCACTAGTGACTGGCTTCCAGATGAACCATAGATATGCCATTTGACAAAATCCTTTGAGCCCAGAAGTTTAGAGAGCTGTCAGCCCTCCCCCATTGCTGTCTATTTATCTGGTATGTACTTAATCAGTTTTTCTGTGAGGATGTTATGGGAGACCTTACTGAAAATTTTGCTGAAATCAAAATAAATTATATCCATTTCTCTCTTCAAGTCCACTGGTCCAGTTCTGTTGCCAAAAAATGTTGTTAGATGGTTAAGCATGATTTTCCCTTTGTAAATACACCTTCCTATACTTAGTACTGAAAGCTATTCCATTTCCAGACATGCTGCCTGCTCCACCACCTATACAGTAATGTAGATGAGGCTTACTGGCCACTGATTCCCTGGATTGTTTTTTTTTCCTGACCTTCCTGCTGATGGATGTGACATTTGCTTTCTCCCTGTCCCTGGCTATCTCCCCCAGTTGTCATGACATTTACAACACATCTGAGGGTGGCCTCACAGTGACATCAGCCAACTCTCAGCACTAGGGGGTACATTCTGACAGTTCCCACAGCCCTGTGTACCTCCAGTTTGTTTAAACACACCTTAATTGCATACTATACCTCTGAGGGTAAATCTCCCTTGCTCTAGACTTTCCCAGGGGTCACCACCTAAGCCAAGTTGTTGCAGGGGTTGCTGTGGTCGAATTTTCATGAAGGTTAGATGGTTTCAGACCATTCCTGGATGGAAGGTTTCCCTAGATAGCAGGCAATATAATATTGCCCCATTTCCTGATAATGTTAATTGAATATAACTATGCAAATATGTCCTTGAAAACCTCATACAGATTGATAATGATGATTGCAACATTTCTTTCTAATTGGAACTATGGCTAAATCCCAGAAAGAGCATTAGGAAATACTAATGGTGATGAAATGTTGGGTATCACTCTTCCTGGACTGATTTATCTGATTCCTGCTTACATCTGAGATAGAAAAAAAAAAAAAAAAAAAGCAGATGCTTTCATGTATCCATTTATTACAAGTTGGTAAAACAAATTTATTGTCGTGGAAACAGGATTCATTTTTTAATAAGCCTCAGTACAGGGCTGATTTAAAGTAATCTGATGAAAATAATTTAGTAGTTTGCAGACCCTTCAGTGGGAGGTGACTAACTTGATACTCCAGGTGTTGTGATTTATGTTTGTCATGCTGTGCATCTTTGGAAATTGAAATATTCATCCATGTCACTGAACCAACAGAGATGGATTTTTCTCATTAACTGAATCCCAACAAGATAATCATTGTAGACTTGAAATGGATCTGTATATTTGAAGTTTATTATTCATTCCACCTAGGAAAAGCCTTTAGCTAATCATATTTTAATGACCTAAGAGACTTCAAGGGAATTATCATTAATATTCAGAAAGTAGTTGTATTTTCTTCTGGAATGTGCAGTTTATTAAAGGGAGCAAGCTGAAAAACAAAACACTTTAAAAGGTTGTTTTTAATTGAAATCTCTTAGTGGAGAGAGTTTTCTCCATAGAAAGAAAATAGCTGTTTCTAAAAGTTGGGTAAAGACCAAAACATTAAAACCTTTTAGCTTCTGAAAATAATTTTTAGTCTGTTGTTTTGGTTTTTTTTCACCACAGTCCCAATGTTTTTAAGGATTGAAAATAGATAGACGTCTAGCTAAAATTTCTAACCATGTTAGGAATTGTGTAATGCAAGCACGACTGGCTGATTTTTGGTTGAGAAAAATGTGAGTGAAAAGATCTCAAGGATATGTACCAGTATTCAGTATAATTTATTGGTTTTTAATGTTCTGTACTACTGCTGCTTTGTTTACAGCACGACATGCATTGAAAGTTCCAATGACTGATGGAAATACACTTTTTAAAAGCCAACTAATTCAAGTGATTTTATTTTTATTTTTTTTAAACATTGTATAGAAATGTTGCTATTTGTGACAGAAATGGTTAAAACATGCTTAGTCAAATGAAAGAATCAGCTTCTTTATAAAATGCTGGCATCTGCCATTTTTTCACCTAGAATATTTGGTGATACATTTCACGTCTCAAATATGGGGTTTATATATGGGGTTTTGGGGTTTGCATAGGTCGTGTACACAGTGCAGCAATATGTTTAGTCATTGACTGAATATAATACAGTTGATAACAATGTTTTCCACACAGGAGCTTCAGACAAGGACCACATCTTTAAAACCTTCAGTGATGTAAATTCTTGTAGGAGCGTGATTTCCTGAACTGATACATAATATCTACTTCTACTCAGCTAAAAAAAACTGGTTTGGGAATCTCAGCCCAGATCTGTACAGGTATCAATATCTGTGTAGCTGCACTTGAAATCTGCAAAGAATTTCTGTAGCAATCTGCCATGAGATAAACTTTGGTGTTTTTCTTTTTTTCCTTTCGTTTTCTAGCTGAATATGTTTGTTTGACAAATCCTAATATTTAGCATTTCTTAATTGATTGAAGGTAAAATGTGCCTCTTTCATAATGTCTTAGATACTTTCTGGTTTTACCTTGCTAGTACTTTGCCAAGTAAAAAGAGCTAGGAAAAAAATCTGATTATTAATTCTTTATCATAAAAAAATTGAATATTTCAAATAACATATAGTTCTGTATGATTTAATGCAATTTTCACTTTAATTCACACTTTTTCCTCACATCACCTTCAGGAGTGTCTCAGCGGGTGATTTTCTGAGTGATGTATGAAGTTTAAAAACCTGACTAGACAAAGTATATTTGAAACAGAATAAAAAATGTTTTTTAAGTGTTACTTGAGATACCAGAAACATTTTCATACATTCATACCTGGAGATGCATAAGACAGTACTTCAGTCTTGCAATCTCTGCCAATTCTTCCTGACTTTCAAATATGTGTATATTCAAATGCATTTAATATTTGTTGTAACTTTCTTTACATTCTTTATACTAATTTTTCAAGGTATATTGATAACTTTGCAGCAATTATAAAATAGATGAGGTTGTTTTGCTGTGAGATTAGTTTTTTACTCTATCCTATATCCACTATAAGCTTCCTTGCAAATGAAGAAGGGGGGAATGGAAAGATAGAACAGAATAGTGGAAGCAAAATCAGATCTCAGACCCCTGAGAAGATTGCTTAGTTTCCGTGTGTGTGTGTGTGTAATACTTGATGCCTTACTTCAGAGAGAATATAAAACCTAAAAGCCTAAACTCTTCTGTGAGAAATTTTTCTCACAGAAAAATTTTTATGTGAGCTATTTTTCTGTGAGAAAATAGCTTTCACTTCATACATTTGCAGATAGTAACTTGGGACTATTTTGAAACAATCAGAAATTGACCAATCCCAGGATACAACTCCGGCAGTTGTCTCTTTTTCAGATTTGCAAAGACACCGCTAAAAACATCTCCTGTGTCTTCATTGACATTATTCAAAACCTGGGAGTTCTTCTGATTTTCCTAGAAGGTAATGAAACTACTATTAGATATATTTAGTGACAATTTACAATATGGTTAAAGTATTTTCCTAACTTAAGTATCTAGCTATTTTATCGACACTATTTTTTTCAGAGATTGTCTGCTTGAGGTTCCAGTTGATCATTCAGATCAGAGACATACGTAATATAGAATTCTTCACTTCTTTCAGTTTGTATTGTGCTCACTAAAACATTATGCATGGCATGAGTGTTCTTACAGCTACACATTCTGTGTATTTAATTTCCTACCAATATATTATGGAGTCTCAACTTCTCATGCTTTTCAAGTAAACGATGCTCACTTCATCTAGTTTTCAGTGTAGCATACTCTGGCTCAAGAGAATAGTTGAAAATAATTCCAAAGAGGTTTAGAGTATGGTTTAGTTTACAGAGAATTGTGGTAGGCCCAGTAGTCCTTCACAGAACTTAAAGAGCTCAAAGAGTTGTGTTACTGCATACTGTGGAAATCACATCTAGCAAAGTGCACACATAACTAAGTTATATGTCTTGATTTACCCTTTTTTTTCCTGAGTCTGTGTAGTTCTCTTACAACTTCCCTGGTGTGAAACCTTTTCTTTTTTGTCAAAACCAGTTTTTCTTGTTGTACTGGGGTTTTTTTTTATTAAAAAATATATATTTTGGACCATTTTTTTCTCCAAATAATTTTTTTAGAAAAATACATGCATTATCTAAATTATTGTAAGTCATATTCATATATAACATAGTGGACTCAGAACTCTGAGTAATGAAGTGAACAATCTTAGAATTGCTGTGGTATCTATTCTAACCTTTCCTATCTTTTATCTTCTTTCTTTCAACACACCTTTTACTCTTGGCAAGAATCAGATTGTGCCACTTAAATGCCCTAAGACATGTTATAATTAGAGGGGACTAGATGATCATTAAGATCCCTGTCAATCCTTAACATTCTATTTTCCTATGATTATTTTCAGGTTTTTGTATTTACTACCAGAAAACCAGAAATATTTCAAATTAATTTTTTAATTTTATGAAGTATTTTATATGTTTATTATTTTAGAGTATTAAAAGATACATCATGTCAATTACATAATTATATGCTGACATATTTTGCTTTTAAAATTTTAAGTGTATCCATTGTCATGAGAAGTCCAATTTCCTACCAGCTTAAAAGAGCTGGTAGAAATTAGCATTATTTCACATTATTGAATGGGAAAACTTGTAAGGGACCAAAGTGGGTCATCAGGTCCAGCCTCTGTGGCCAAGTGGGACCATCCTAGAGCACATTGAAGAGAATTAAATCTAGAGCATTCTTGAATATCTCTGGTGAGATATCCACAAACTCTTTGGGCACAGACAGCTGCACAGTAAATATGTTCTTCCTAATATGTGGAATTTCCTGTGCCATTTTCTGCCTGTTTCCTTTCCCAGCACCACTGGCTTCACCTTCTTGACAGCATCCCTTCAGACACTTGCTTACACTGCTAAGACCTCCTCTTATTCATTGCTTCTCAAGAGTGAACAGGCTCATTTTTGTATCTCTCTGCTGGACTTATTCCAGGAGCCTCATGTCTCTCTTGCACTGACAAGCTCGGAACTGGACACAGCACTCCAGATGTGCCTCACTAGGGCACATTAAAGGATCACCTCCCTCAGCCTGCTGGCAATATTATTCTTAATGCATCCCAGGATACCATCAGCCTTCTTGGCCACAAGGACACGCTGCTGACTAATGGACAGCTTGTTGTTCATAAGGACTCCCAGGTCCACAGAGCTGCTTTCCAGCTCCCAGCCTGTCCTGGTTCATGGGATTACTATTCCTCACGGGCAGAACCATAAACTTGCCTTTGTTGAATTTCAGAAGGTTCTTCTCTGCCCATCTCTCTTACCTGCTGAAAAAGGCTGCACAGCCCTCTGGGGTATTGGCCACTCCTCCCAGCTTTCTTTGCCTTTTGTTTTGAGTAGTATTTAGACTGTAAATTATTAGTATATTGTTTTGTTCCTCATTATTATTTTCATTTATACATTTAATTTATTTTCCAACACTCTGATTTTGAACTGAGAAAAGTGTGACTAGATTTGATTCTCAACAGTATGCAAGTTCACTGTCCTCATGAAAAAATCTTTATCTTGCAGGTATCTTTATGCATAAGCCTCCCAATAAAAAAAAAAAAATGCTATCTCACTAAAAGTTATTTAAAAACAACTTCCTGATAATCATTCATACTCCCATTTGATGAGGTGAAGGAAACCTGGAGATGCACAAATATTTGTAAACAGCATAGATGCATGCATTTCAATTTAAACCAAACAAATGAACAAATAAATAAACAAAAATTCAACGCTTCAAAATCCTTTCCTGCTGTCATATCTGACAGGGTAGAAATGAGTATTGGAAAAATGTTTATTCATTTGCTTTCTCTAGGTGACAATTCTTTTCTGAAAGGAAAGCGTTGAGAAACTGCATGTTGAAGGCTCACTAATATTTTTGTAGCTGCAGAGAGATGAGTAGATTGTTTGTAGCTATTGAGCAGCCTTTCCTTCCATTTAAGGTTTTACCTGATCACTGATCTGGAGATATGTCTGAATGCAGTGATGGTCTATTACACTTTTACATGCTACATTAAGGTGTATGTTATGAAAGTGCTGCACTGAACCATCAAACGATAATATTTGAGAGAGCACCTCCCTATTATATAATGCCTCTGCAATTATATAGAGAACATGACCTTGTGGAGGAGAGCATTTTTATTTGCCTGTGTACAGAAATCCAACATAAGGGAATAGATTTCAGCATTCAGTGTGATTGCCTAATGAAAGATGAAAGAAAGGCCCTAAGTGCTGCTCTGTGTAAGGAAGGACAAAGCTAATTTTTTATCCATTTCCAGAAAGATGAACAGTGAGCTGTAGCAAAGCATATATTGTTCTTTTATTGCTACAATACAAGCTTTATTTCAGCACATTTTTTCCTATTTACTTATACAACAAATTAAAAGGATTCTTAAAATGCTAATACAAAACAGGTGAAAATAAAAGAGGGATTACTTGGGGAGAAGAAAAAATGAAGCATCAAATCCTGAAAGATATTAAACACATAAGTGAGGTGTAGAAAATTTGGGTGAGAGTTTGTAGTTTCCTGAGAGTTTTCCAAAACTAAAAGACAACTCCATGTGTTCTTAGGAATTGATACCTAACTGTAACCTTGTTATTCAAAATAAACAAAAGCTAAACAGTTGCAAAAGCCCCTAGATTGTATTGGTAAGTAATTAGATTACAGAGTTGCATAGTTTCTTTTGATTTTGGGCTATTGTCACAAAAGGTGTGAAAAATGATGCTCAGTGCTTGACAGAACCAATAATAATGGATTCATAAATCCCCATAAGCTCAGAAGTATCTAATAAACCAACAAGCACCTAAGCAAATACCTAGAATGCTACAGAAGTTTGGGAGTAAAAATCAAACCTTAGCTTTCAGTTTATTTTTTTTTTTTCAAAATTAACATGTGAAAAGGGGAGATTTACTTAAACCTTTCATGTTTGATTAGTCTGTCAGAGCCCCAGGAAACCTGAGACCCTTCTGCCCTACAAGCCTGTCAGTGCCCTGCTATGGGGAGCCTTCACTGGGCTGTCCACTGGATTGGAGGGCAGCTTGACCAACTTGTTCAGGGTCACACTCCAAAAAGAGAGATCCTCTCCTGAGTCTCCACATCTTTATCCACTGCCAGTGACTGTCAGTGCTCTTGAAGGACTCACATTAATAGTTTACAGAATAATATTCTTTATTAGTAAAATTGTGACAGGTTAGGGTTTTGAAGACTGCTGGTGATAGTATCTGACTGCAAAAACATAATAAAAGTGAAGGTTTAACAAGACCTAATCCCTAAAAAATGATAGCACAGGATAATCATTCGGCACACATACAGTACAGTTTTTGTTCCCATGGGGAAAAAGGTTCAGCCCATTATTAACTTACTTTTATACTCTTTATTTGTGTTTGGGGAAGCTTGAGTTGCTTTAGTCATACATCTTACTCAGTGAGGGATGGCCACTAGGGGTGGGTATCTCAGTGTGGTATCTGAGATAACCCTGGGATGGGGACATGCAGCACTCCAAGGAGAATTATTTCACCACAGCTGCTGATTCAGCAGCAGGACATTTTCCTTTATCTCCCTTGGTTTTCAGCTGCTGTGCAGCTTATCAGCTAAAAGGCAACACTGAGTTTCCTCCTCTGCAAGGGTTTCAACAGAGCCTGGACATGTTTCCACTCCATTCTACCCTCTGTTTAGTACTCCTTAGATTGTATTGAGTGTGGGAGGTCAGACATGTTGACCACATTCCATCCAGGGAGTAGCAACTGTAATTTCCCCTATCATTATTGTATGACTCTCTTTTTACCCCCAATTATTTTTTCACAAAAGACCTCTCAGTAGACTTCTCCAAAATACTAGTGCTTTTATATTCAATATCATAATCAGGAAGGAAAAAAAAAACAAACAAGTAGGCTGGAAATTTGATTCCAGTCAAAATTATCTTTAAATTACTTGGGATAGATAAACTGGAACACAGACATTACTGGTTTCAAATAACAGTGCCTTGTGAAACTTAATTTTGGTTGGTTTTAAGAAAATTAAGAAAGTAAATAGTACACCATCAGTTTCCATCAGGAATTCTGCTTGATATTTATTGACATCACATTCTCTTGAATATAATGATGTAATACACTAGTGATTGACAAAAAATTTGGTAATTTTGTTGACAAGCATTAACCCTGGCATTTTCTCTTTTTTCACTCTGAATTAAGTTGTTAATCATAATAAATTGCAGGGAAGGAAAAGGGAAAATAAGAGGCTACAGGCTCCTTCTGAGCTCTCTTTTATTTCATAGTCTTTGACTCAAATGGGAATTAGAGATTTAATATTCTATAAAGTTTCCAAAGGATAAAAACGAGACTCAGACTTTGATCCAGCTCTGATTTCTAAATGCTTGCAAAAGGAAAAGAGGTATTATAAAAATCTGTTCCAAAAGAAATATTTTTAGACAGAGAAGCATCCACAAATGTTCATTATAATAATTTTATCATCTTTGGTTATGGTGTAAAGGGGTAGACCATAAAGCATAAATCATAAACTATTAGTAGACGTAAGAAGAGGCTGAACTGAGCTCTGAGTTGTTGTAAAGTGAAATTATGGGTTTGTGACACACATATGGGTTCAGAGTTTGATGCCACAATGAAGATGATGATTTCAAAGTTCCATGATAGCCATTTGCTCCAGGCTGGCTCTTTTATGGACAATGCTTTTGTGCAAAGCCTCTGTAATCAGGAGGAAGAATTAATGGACTCAGATTTTCTTCATTCAGGTGCAAGTCTTCCCACTTTGGGATGCCACTTATAGCTATCCCCTCTGAAAGAAACAGTCACGAGACACAGTAATGGTTTCACTGACTTTTTGATATTTTTTTTTTTTTTAATTTACCTTGACTTTTTTTTTTTCCCTCAAATGAACAGCTCATCCAGTAGACTGTGCCTGACTAACAAATGTGATCTACACACAAGGAATCCTGGTAACACCAGCAGCAAGGCAACTATCTTGATGGGAACATGGTGGTGTGGTGGGATGACTCCCATGACTAGAGTGTTGAATGGAGGGATACAAGATATTTAGGAAGGACAGGCCAGAAGGAGCACAGAAGCCAAAACTGTGTCCAGTCCTGTTTAACATCTTTGTTACTGATCTGGATGATGGCACAGAGTGTACCCTCAGCCAGCTTGTTGATGACACAGAACTGGGAGGAATGGCTAACAGGCTGCAGGTTGTGATCACATCCAGGCAGACCTGGACAAACTGGAGAAATAGGGTGAAAGGAACCACATGAAATTCAACAGGTCCTGTACCTGGGGAAGAACAACCCTGCACATCAGTATATATTGGGGACAACCTATCTGTAAAGCTTCTTGTCAGAGTGAAGTTTACCTGGGGGTCCTGGTAGTTGCCCAAGTTGAACATGAGGTGGAAATATGCCTTAAGACATCAAGGATCAATGGTGCCCTGCACTGCTTTAGACAAAGTACTGCCAGCAGGCTGAGGGAGGAGATCCTTCCCTTCTACTAAGCCCTGGAAAGACCACATCTGGAGGGCTGTGTCCAGTTTTGGGCTCTTCAGAACAGGAAGAGTATGTACATACTGGAGAAAGTCTAGCAAAAGGTTACAAAGATGATAAAAGGACTGCAGCATCTCTCCCATGAACAAAGACTCAGAGATGGGACTCTACATCCTGGACAAGAGAAGGCTCAGGGAGATCTTATTAATGTATTCAAGTACTTGAAGGGAGGGCACAGAGAAGACCGAGAAGGGATCTTCTGAGGTTCCCAGTGGCAGGACCAGAGGAAGTGGACACAAATTGAAACACTGGATGTTTCCTCTGAGCATCAGGAAACACTTTTATATTGATGGTCAGTGAGCACTGCACAGGTTACCCAGAAAGGTAGTGGGTTCCTCTTTCCCTGGATGCATTGAAAATCCACCTGGATATGATCCTAGTCAGCCAGATCTTGGTGTCCCTCCTTGAACACAAGAGGTTGCACCAGGTGACCTCAAGGGTTCCCTTCCACCCTCACAAATTTTGTGATTCTGTTATATCAATAGGCATTAACCTTTTTCCTACAAACATACCTCAGAGCTTATCCTAAGCTTACTTTTTATTCTGCTGTTGTGTTAGCAGTATCAATATCTTATTTTGAGAGGTGTTTGTTGTTCAGGGGTTTTTTTATAGCTGTTTTTACAGGTAGAGTAAGAAGTGCAGAGAAGGTGTTAAACTATCTAGACTTCCCACTGACAAAACACTTTGGCATTATGAAATTCACTGCTATAGTTCTTTAGAGCAGCAGCAGATGTCTTGGTGAACCAAATATTTTTAAATAATTGCACCATTAAAATTATTTTGGGACTTTGTACCTTCTGCTTTTGTTAAGTGTAAAATTGGAGCCTAAGAGAAATGGAGCTATTCTCCTGCATAAGAATTTGTTCCTGAATCCTGTGTAAAAATACCTCCTAAAATGCTGGTGAAATTTCAGGTCCAGGGTACATTCAGCCACTAATGGGCATATAGGCCATACATAACTATGGAGAAAGCTATAGGTTTCTATCATTTGAGACTTAAAATTTGAGCTTTGAGCACATGATTTGCATGTGTCCTGTAGTCTGTACATTTCTGGAATTTTGGGATGTATTTTGCTTTTCAATATAAAAACCCTTGCTTTCACTGCCATTAAGTAGTGGCCATAGTCAAACATCTGGGGCAGAATTAAGGTTGACTGTGTTTCACTGTTACTTTTAAGCAGAGTAGTAAAATGATTTTTTTTATTTCCTTTTTTTCAACCTGAACTACTGAGTGAGATTAGAACTACATTAAGGATAAACTGAATAGGGTTTTTAATTTAGCTACTTTTTTCCATCTTGTTATGTACACCAGGTAGTTTTATTTTGTATCCCTATATTGTTCAAGATCAGATGAGCAACCAGCACAAGTAATAACTTGTAGATGCTTAGGTTCACCATTAAAAATTAAGGGAGTTTTATCTGTCATCCTTATATTTTATGTTAATTTCTAGAACCTCAGGCTTCAGAGCCTGAAGCCACCTTAAAATTATAGTATGGACAGTACTGTGCTAATGTGAAACAGATTCTGAACCATGTAATGACAGTAAGTGAAGAATTCAGAATGTTCTTTTTCTTTCTCTGATATGGTTATGAATTATATTTTGTATGTAGGTTTATTTTAAATAAATGATAGAAGGGAATGCATGAGAGGAAGTACTGAAGGTATTGGTAAATAGAGATTCTGCTTTTTTAACTGCAAACAATATTTTGGGAAAGAATTGGACATCTATCCAGAGTTTGATATGGATTTTCTGCCTCCTATCAAATGACTGATATTATTGCATTGATACAGGATTTTAAATTTCTCCCATGTTTTCTAGGCATGCATACCCTAGTTCTACTGAGACATTTTTCTTTTCTGTGTGTACCTCAGCAGCTATGTGCAGACACAGACTCTTCCATCTACACTAAGAACCATTCAGATGTGTCAGCTCTCATGTGAACTGAGAAACCACATACATGTATACTTCCCACTGCAATGCTGCTGCTGATCTGAAAAGGGAAGTAAGGGCTTGGAACCTTTCTCAACTTTTGTATCTGCACAGCTTCTTCTTTTCTATATGTTTTGCCCCCCATACATACTTCTGACATTAAAAAGTGTAGTAGGCCTTCTATTTGTTAGTCCGAGGTTACAACCTCTATGTGACTGGTTAATTGAATATTTGATACCAGAAATCTATGAATATCCCAGTTTATGGATTTTAATTGCCTTCAGTTTTAACAAAGAAAGCTTGTTTCTACAACTGGTGCTGTCATTTCCATTACTCCACCTCAGGATAACTAATTTTATGTTAATTTAAATTCCTTGGAAAATTGAAGTCCAAATATGTTTAAGGATATTGGTATTTCTGACTTTGATTTGTAAACCTCATTGATCCTTTATCCATATGTTTATAGATATTTTCACTTTTTAAATTCTGGCCTTTCTGTTTACTTATCCAAGCAGACTGTCTGCCTTCTGATTTTCTTTTTCTTTATGAGGACTCCAGATAATATATTTCTATTTAAATTCAGTACCTCTACCTTGACATTCAAATCTTTCTGTTATTCTGTTGATTTTTTTTATCATCCTCCTAATTTTTCTGTCTGCCATACTAAAAAACCCAGTTCCTTAGGTTTTTATCTGTTTTTTTCTTTGTGTCAATTTGAAACAAAATGAATTATCTTGAGATCAAAAGATGAGTGTTTCTTTTCACAGCATTTTGAGTGTTTACCAGAGTAGCACAGGTGAATTGACTTAGGAATTTACTACTCATTTATATCAAAGCATGACTGAGAATTACCTTTGTGATTTGATAGAGTTTGGAAGAGAAATGCTAAGAAATCAGTAGAAATAAAAGTAACACTTCTTTACATATCTCACATAAACTTACAAAGCCAAATTAACCATTTTTCAGCCTTGATGCAGAAATACTAGCATATACCTGAGAAATCTTCCCCCAAAAATGTTTTATTAAATTTATTATATTATCTTTATTTAATCAGTCATTTTTGTGAGTACGCAGTACTGTACCACCATTTTTAATTTTAATTCCATCCTTTCTAAGCAGCTTTCTTTCTAATTCTTTCATCCAGCTCTATCCCAGTTACAAATGGTCTTGTTTTGCATTCCTATTATGTCTGTAATGAATGGTTTCTTTCATATATCTTTCATACATATCTTCGACAGAAGTTGTTTTACAATGCTGAACTCAATGTGTTGGCAAACAGCTGTTTGTTTCCCTTTGGCCTCATCATTGTTTTCAACAGGAGGTAATTTGCTGGCTGAAATTTCTTACAGAGTTATGCTTGTAATAACTGAAGGTTTATCCTTTTCCTTAATGTTTCATTTTCAATTGCCACATTCTTTTTCAAGGGATTTATCTTCTGCCATGAAGCTTTGAAATTTAGCAGTCTTTCAAATTCTTCCCCTGTCCCCAGCTGCAACCTCACAAAGCAATGGTTTCTTTTGAATTCATTTGGCATTCAGACTGTATTTGGTATCTCTCCCCCAGTGCATTCCCAAAGTTTCACCTGAGAAACAGCATAGTCTTCAGCTGCAACTTTGGTTCTCCATTAATATCTTTCGTGAGTTTTTCAAGTAGTAGGTCCTGCAGCTTACACTATTCACTTCAAGTCAATATATTTATAATTTTATGATGCTTGATTTACTTTTTGTCTTCTTTCTTACTACCATTGTCACAGTGTTCCTCACCCAGGACAAGGGGTAATGGTTTTAAACTGAAGAGGGTAGATAAACTTGAGTTGACTAAATATGAGTGAATTTTTTTTTTGCAGTGAGGGTTACATGAGGTAGCATGAGAACAGGTTTCCCAGAGATACTCCATCCCTGGAAACATTCAAGGTCCAGCTTGATGGGGCTCTGAGTAACCTCATAAAATTGAAGATGTCCCTGACCACTGCAGGCATGTTGGACTAGATGAATTTTAAATGCCCCTTCCAACCCAAACTGTTCTGTGCTTTTATTATTCTATTAAAAAGAGGGGAGGGGAAGAAAAAAATAGAAGAGGCCACCCAGCCACATATTTTCTAAACATGTCTAAATATTGGAATTCCTAGGAAATAGAAAAACAGTTGTGTAAATATATAAAATGAAAAAAGGTGCAGGATTTAAATTTCCACTTCTAATTATATGATTTTAACTTAGCATTGGCTTACCAGTTAAGTCTTTCTTATCACCCTATCATAGCTGAAGTTCTCTTTTAAGACACAAATATACCAAGCTTAAGGATTTCCCAAAATAATATACATACTTTTGATAAGCTTATTTTTGATTTTTAAAGCAAGTTGTTGTTAATATGTAACATCTGCTATGTTCCTTTCTTGAGTTTCTCACTCAGCTTTAAAATAAGAGCTAATTTTGTTAAGATTTGAAAGTCTGTAAAAATGAATACTATAACCTATTTTCCTATTTATAGTGATTATGGTTCCTCTATCTTATTAATAAGTACTAGTATTATATCTCAGTACAGTAGAGAATATTATTGCTACTGTAATAAGTGATTTATTGGTTATCATTTCTAGAGTACATGAATAGTTGCCAGTACCTTTTGCACCTGCAGTGAGAATAGAAAATCTCTTTAAGACACTTCTAGCAGAATTGTAAAAAGCCTGTAACAAGGAATTGATTTTTGAATAAGTTGTAACAGCTGTAGCTTTATCATTGTGTCAGTAGGTACAGTGTAAAATCTGTCCTTATGATGTGCAACTAATACACCCACTCTCTGCATTCTGTCTTTTCACAGGAAAATATATAGAAAGGATTTTTCTATTGGGAAGAAGAGTAAAGCAGCCTTGTTCTCCTACTTGTTAATTTGAATCAATGCATTTTGTATTAACTTCCTGTAGTATAAGGACTTGCCCTTCCAGGTACTTGTAGTGCAGAATCACATCAAGTGTGTCTCTATGGAAATCTCTGAATCTTAAAAAAAAAAAAAAATTGCTTTGTGCAGTGTGTTACTTATTTTGAACAACAGCTAGCATTTTTGTGAGAACTAAATGCTACCTGTCATTGAGCTACGAATTTTAACTGTGATAGATTTGCAGCTTCAAGTGAGTTTTCTGCACTACTTCACACGGTCTTCACATAGACTTCTGTTATCAGTAGAATGTGAGTTGGTGGAAAGCTTTTTATATTGGTCTTCAGTAGTTAAAATCAATATATTGTTACTAGAAAAGCAGATTTGATCTTAATCTTGTTATCTAAGGGACAGCAGTTAATTTGTCTACATTGCGAAACTAATCCTTACTGTGAACATTTCCTGAATCAAAGTAAAATTTCCAAAGAAACTGTATAATCTGATTTAGTAAATTCATGAACTTAAACAGCTCTTGTTTTACTCACTTTAAATAAAATATAAAAGAAAACAATTTCACCTTAGTAATTTTTTTATAAATCATGCAGGTTTGCATAGCTTTTATTGCTAAGTTTTCTTTCTAATATACTAGGTTATTTCAAATGAGCTATTTTGTATCCCAAAAAATTGCATAAAAAAGAACACAATTTTATTATGCATTGAACTATGAATGGTTTTGTGTGTGCAGATCACATACTAATAAAGTTATATCCTCCTGCCATCTCTGTCATCTAGCCAAACATACAGACTGCTATATAGACTGAAGATTTCTTTATATCTCTTACTTTATTTGATCATGGTTTATTATACAAACATTATCTGAATTGCATTGAAAGTATTATCACACAAGTTAACTATGTAAAAAGAGAATTATTATCTTTGTAAGCAAGCTGTTCACTCAGTTTTTATTCCAAGATTTTTTACTGGATAATAGGTAATAAAATATTTGAATAGCCTACTTTGAAACCTATGCCAAAATCAATACTGTTGCCCTCTCTATGAACTGATATAAACCATCTTTGCCTGCCTGCCTGCCAAAGGAGCCAAGCTAAATCTGTAAATCATCAATTTGCTAATTTATTTTGTCTCAAGATTTACAAAAGTGATTAAGCTTCTGCTCCTGCACACACTAAGTATATCTGGTGACTTCCATGTCCATGAAGAGACATGTTTAGTCTGAATATTTGCATACATGCATTTTAATGCATGTTCCATCTTTGTCGGCAGCCGAGTGCAGTGGACCACAAATTCTGATGTAAAAAATCAGTATTATACTTCAATTCTCTTCTATTGCGGCTGCTTGAGCAGAGATTACTTTTAGCCTATATTTTTCATCCTTAAGTTATTGACTGAATAACCCTAGGATAGCACCCTAACTCAAAAATTGGTACAAAGTGGATTCTCAGGTTATTTCCCTGAAAATAAAAGTTGTTTGGACATATTCTACTAATGCATAATGGTTTCCAGTGCAGATGTTCTGTTCTACAAGTTAGATGCTTTAAAGAGTGGTGTCAAGATGGTTTGTTGCTATTACCCATTTTGTTTGGAAGAAAGGAGAATGGAGTTACAGGTTGAGATCAAACAAATTTCTCTTACTTTCTAAGACTGACAGTCATAGTTTCTACTTAGTTATTACACTGAATCCTAGAAGATGGCAAGGACTAAGTCTGTGACCTCTGGATTTAAATTCAAGTGAGACTCATCAGCTCAGTTGTCCTTTGAAATTGCAGCCAGAAGAGGACCCTTGCTAGGGTCAAAGTACCAGATTCTTCACTGGTGGTTCATTTACCAAATAATTGACCGTACTTTGAAGTAGCATGCAATTCAAATTAGTCTGTAAACATCCACCTGTGCACAAATGTGCAGTGAAGGATTGAACATACTGTGCAGTGATAGGCTACCATGTCTTTGAGAAGGTTATATGATAAACAAAAAGAATTGATTGTACAGGGAAGGACAGGCTATGTCCAAGGAGTCACTGAAATTAGACTTTAAGTACATTGTATTAGCTCAGTAGCAAGTTATAACACTGCAGTTTTTTCTGTTTTAAATGGTCTTTTTAATACATTCTGACACCTCACTCAATCTAGTAAGTAATCCTATGTTTAAAAAAATTAAACTGTTATCTAATTTCATATTTTAAGAAGAACTTAGTAGGTGCTATTTCACTTAGTGTTTATGGTGATATTAAGTTCTACTTTTCCCTGCTCTACTAAAAATCCATTAATATAGAGTCATTACGTTCCACTGAAAAATTACCAGACATTTTGTCATGTCATTTCAGGTCAAAACAACTGAAGTAACAAAGACTGGTTACTGAATTTAGCAAACTAAAAGCTATTCATTCAAAAGCTCACGATAGTACACTGATTTCAATAGAAAGACTCCTAAATTAATGAAGCAAGTCCTTCTTGATATACTTGGTGTTAAAAACACCTCCTGTGTTTTGGTTTTGTTGGCTCACTTATATCTACCAGCAGAACCTTTGAACCGGAACATTTTTGATCAGCACTCTCTGTCTCGAGTTATCCTGTCATGACATTAAAGACATGAATTCTGCCAGTATTTCAAAAGTGAGTGTATTTTTCTTCTGTGCATCCTGGATTTATGCAATCTATCTGGAATATATCTCAAATATAAGAAAGAAAAATCTGTGTTGATGATGACTTTCCTTACCACTTACTTTTAGACACATGGATGTGGGGAAACAGAGCAGTGAACAGTAGAACATTCTTTGGGGAAGATATTTGCGGAGAAATCAGGTGGAAGATAAATGATGCTTCAGAATAATGATGTGCCTAGGAGGTATCTGAGATACTTCATCATTTTCAAATTCCTAAGCACAGAATACTTCCTCGTGCTCAGGCTAACCCGAATTTATACCAGAGTGTACAATAGCATTTCTTTAAATGTGTTTTTCAGAGTGGGTATGTTCCCTGCAAGTCAGCAACTGCTTGAAATGAGCCATGTTTCCATAAAAATTTGTGCCTAAATATCTATGTATACATAATACTTATTCCAAATGGAAATTTTATTTTGAAATTGTATTTATGTATTTCTTTCTCTAAAATGAGTCAGTCTTCTGCTTTGAACTGGGATATAGATTAGTGGTTTTCTTGTCTGAAATTCAGTAAAGTAAAATAATCGATTATAATTACATATTTAAAATAAGTGATTTTAGCAGTTTCATTATTTTAAGGTTGCAGTAGTCTGTATTTCTAAAATCAGGACTGCCAAAAGGTTGTGCCACTAGAGAGTGATGAAAACTGCAAGTTGGTCTGATGCTGATGTTGATGCTGAAGATTTGCTTTCACTGAGAAAGACATAGTTCAGCCTACACTTCTCTATTACACTCTTGATTCAATAAATACATCTCATATTTTCTCACAATATTCTGTCAGGTATGCTTACACCAATTTATATGATTTGCTCCTCATGACAAAAAAAGGGATGTACCCAAAAGTGTGGATATCATTTCTAGGTCATTCTCAATTGGCATTGCATGGTCATAGTGATCAGGACAGGTGCCTGAGGGCTAAAAGAAAGTAAATGTCACCTCAATGTACAAAAAGGGCAAGAAGGAGGACTTGGGGAACTACCAGCCAGCCTTTCAGCCTCTCCTCAATTCCTGGAAGAGGAATGGAGCAGCTAAACCTGGAGGCCATCTCAAAGCACATGGAAGATAAGAGAATCAAGAGTAGTCAACATGTGTTCACCAAAATGAAATCATGCTTAACCAATCGTAATGTCTCCTATGTTGGGACAACTGGCTGAATAGATGTGGGAAGAACAGTGGATGTTGTCTACCTCAGCTTCAGCAAGGCTTCCAACACCTGTCACTAGTGGTATTCCCCAAGTACAGGATATAGGGTTATAATGATTGAAGTGGTTAAGGCTTACGCTCCCCAGAAGGCCCTGTGGGAAG